ATTGCACCTCAAAGTATCACGTAAACATGCTTAATTGGTTTTAAAAAAGTAATTTTGAGTTTGAAGCTAGCTTGAATATAAAGTGCTTTCTTTATCTTTGTCCTAACCTGAAAAACAAATAATATTGGCAGGCAATAATAATTGAATCGTAGACTTTTACTATATACTAGGGGCTGATGCCGACTGATATAATATATATATGTGTGTGTGGAAATTGTTATCAATTTTATTCAATAGGTGAAGGTGGTATTGTTTTTCAATCCATAAAAAGTCATTTGGTAGCTGGTTAAAATTATACGAGAATTAATTTTATAAATTTTAGTTATTTATATATTAATTATTCATCTATTATTCTATATAAAATAATAGGGATAAGATACAAGTACCCTCCTAGACTATGATCGAAATCCCAAAGACACACATCAACTAAGCTAAGGTCCTATTACTCCCCGGAACCCATTTTTAAAAATATTTTTGTACACCTTTTTGTCTTACATGACATACAAATATCTCTTACGCGCCTCAACTCTGTGGCGACGTAAGCCAAAAGGTGTACAAAATTACAAAAAAGATTAGTTTGGAGGGTAATAAGACTTTAGCTTAGTTAAGGTGTATCTCGGGGATTTCGGTCATACTCTAGAGGGTACTTGTGCCTTATCCATAAAAGACACAATACATAAACATAACCCTTAACTTGACGTCAGCTGGGAACTATGACTTTTAACTTTGTGTGTGCACTAGAAGTCACCTAAACTTCTATAAAATTGAACAAAAAAGCACATTCATCCTCCATGGCACCCTACATGAGAATTTTGTGTTCTACGTGGCATCCTACGTGCATTATGCCATGTAGGACACGTGTGTCTACTTGTTCAATTTTGTACAAGTTTAAGTGTCTCCTTGTGCACACTTAAAGTTGGAGGACATAGTTATACGCTGAAACCAAGTTAAGGGTCATATTTATGTATTATTGCCTCCATAAAAAAATACATAACTTTTCTCAAAACTTATACGCACATTAGTTACCTAAGATTTTGAAATCCTAAACAAACACTATATTTGGTCTGTTTGATTTCATACATAATCAAAAATAATAATCAAATACGATACAAATTATATAAGATTTAATACATAAAGAAATCACCTCTTAATTAGCTACCAAACAATCCTTAAATATTAAGGTGTCGTTTAATAGAGTGTATTAGGAAAAATAATGCATGCATTAAGTGTGTATTAGTAATACCTTATTTGATACACTTTTTCATGGCATGTATTGTTGGGTTTTGAAGGGTGATTAGGGCGTCATGCGGAAGCTTACAATTGCATAGCATATAGTTGATAAATCAGATAACAAAAACTTATACTAAAAATCAAAATATTATTATATCAAAACTAATATAAAGAAAAACATTGAAACTTTAGAGAGAATAAATCTCCCCATAAACAAGACTCTTAAACGACTATATTGTGGATGTTATTGTTATGGTATTAGAAGAAACAAACCTATATTTATAGAGTTCTAAAACCTTTCCTACTAGAAAAGAACTAGATACTCCAAAACCTTTTTTCTTAAAAGGAAAGAATAAACCAAATATGAAAGAATATTATATTTTCCTTTCAGGAAAAGTAAAAACATTTATGGTAATGTTTTGTCTTTTCTTTAAGGAAAAATAAATCTTAAATTATGGTAATAAAATCAGGGGCAAAACCCTAACATGTATAACTAATGACACTCTATTGTGTATTAAGTTGTGTATTACTAATACCAAGAAATTCTAGATATTAATAATACATTGCATTAGATTATATAATTACAAAACTACCCTCAAAAGCCTTTTATAAAAATATTTTCCAAGAATCTTTGCAGGTGGTCTTGTGCTCACCAAGGATACCATTACTCATTAATACATTTCCTTTACAACGTATAGTTGCCTGTATCCCCTGGAGGGGGTGGTGTAGAACTAAGGATTTCTCATGGCTGGTAAATAATTTGAATTTGTTCAATTTGACAAGTTGAGCTTTATGGTCCTGTAGAGCTTTACACATCTTCATCGCTGGACTCTCTCATATATTGAATGTTGTTGATATTGCCCTTGCTATTCAATATAGTTTAATCAAAATATTTACTATTGTGACGATTAGTTTGATAAAAAAAATTCTTTGTCAACTTTTCACAAAAATATTTTGACGCAATAGTAACAACTATTTAATTTTATATTTGAAAAAAAGAAGAGAAGAAGAGTTAAATGATATTTTAACAAAGAAATCTTTTTTGATGTTTTAGCAAAGAACCTTGTTGCAAAGGAAGTGTACAAAGAAATAAAGTGTGTAGGGTATTTTTGTAAGCATACATTTTTCTAATAGAAATTATGCAGATTTGTTATTTTTAATACATCAAACCAAACAGTGTATAAGAAATAATGCAGACATAACTACTACAAGCACTACTAATGCATGTATTAATAATACACTCTATTTTACATTGTTCTTATACACTCTATCAAACGACCCTTAAGAGGATAAAATTAAAAAATTACTTTAAAAATTAATTTATATGGATGATATTTTAAAATTTTAAATAATTTTACGGATATATAACTAGATATAGTATGAAAGAAATAAAGAAGTTCCAAGTCCACCGAGCTAATAACTTTTTTCTGCCTTTTTGTCGTCCGAAATTCAGTGGAATTTTCTGCCTTTTTTTCTGTATTGAGTCATTCATTGTTTTTGCAGTTGTTGGTTGTTTCATTAAGGTACCGTAACGTCTTCCACTACCCTAAATTCGTATTCGATATTTACATTAGAATTCGATTAAATTTAATAACATTTTCAACATTTCTTTTTTTGTTTTTAGGAGTGATTGATATCGAGATCTTTAACTAAGAGCGAAGAAATCTCAATTATTTACTACAACTCATGTTGGATAGTCAAAAGTTTCTCAAATATTTAACACTCCCTATATTTATTCAAATTATACGTGTTATTCATTTAGTTATTTTATAGGGGTGCTAAATGTTTACTCCCTCCGTCCCATATTATTAGATGAACATTTATTTTTATTTATATGTTAGATAAATAAATCATTAATAGATTAATGAACTTTACTATATCGTCCTTTGTTTATATTGATTAGCTTCTTGAAAAAAGAAATTTTGAATCTTCAAAAATTGTTTAAACTTTCAAAGGTCATATTAATTGTAGGGGTAAAGTGAGAAAAAATTAAATAATTCTATTATGATTATAAAAATAGGAAACACATAAAAATAAAACGAAAATTTCCCAAATATATAATTTTATGAAATTTAAGATTATAGGAGATGTTTCTAAATTTTATTTTATATTATAAGAGTGTTAAGTATAATTTACCTTATTTTCTATCCTTTTTAGTATATTTTATTAAGTGGTGATGCTTATAAGGAAAGAAAAAAAAATCCAACTAATATCTATGATCGCGTTTATTCAAGATTTTTATAAATAATAAGACGTTTATTTAGATTTTGATAGATTAGTTTTATAATAGTCTAAAGTTTTGTAATCAATGAAAAGTCATAAATTTCGATAAGAATATTTAAAATTAATACGTCTATAAATAACTAAACATCAATTTATGCTTATCTCTAGATTAAATGCATTTGCCAATTTGTTTAGGCAAAATTACAAGGGAGTTGAATGTGAACATATGATATATTTACTAGGATTCCATCTTTGGCTTTTGGCCAAATTGACCATTACACATTTTATTATCTACTTGTAAACTTTTATTACTTCACTTTCCAACATCTTAATCATATATAAGCTTTTCATTTGTCTTATATAAAAATATTCATATATAATAATATAAAAGTTCATTTTCAAATATCTTACCAAAGTCTATGGGCATTGTTTGCACTTTATTTGATCAATCCAAAGAACATATTAGGTTAAATTTTCAAATACATTGCTCAAATTGCAAATGTTACTCCTTCCGTTCAACAATAGTTGTCCACTATACAATTTTGGAATATCCAACAATACTTGTTCGCAATGAAATCAATGGATAATTTTACACTTAGTTCCTAATTTATACTTATTATTAATTATACTCATTTTCCCTACTTGTATGAGTTTGCTCAATTTGTATATTGATAAAGGTAAATCAGTCAAAATAATTATAATTATTTTTTATTAATGATATAAATATTAAAAGTCTTGTTATAAAGAAATCAAAGTAGTCCATAGAAATTGTTAATGATTTGAAAGAAAAACTTTGAGGAAGATCTTTAAAATTATCCCAAATTTGTATCAAATGCAAGGGGGATTATTATTACATTTTCTTCAAACTTTAGGGACCATAGTGAAGGAAAAGGTGCGTATCACATTTCGAAATTGCTTAATAGTAGTTAAATAGACCTTTCCATAGAGTTTAATCTAACTTGTTTATGTCATATTGTTTCTTTTTTAATAAAACATTTTTTTTGTACGAACTTTTCTATTTTGAGGTAGTTTTTAACTTTTTTTTTTAATTTGTGATCTTTAATTTTTATCCCTATTACTGATTAATATAAATTTGTTGGTGAAATGATTTTAAACTATGATCTAAACTTCACCATAGTGATCTTTTTTGGACTATCTCTTCTATATCAAAATAACGATAAATATTGTAATTAAAGATGTACAAACAAAATATAGGTTTATGTTGTTTTCCCGTTGAAAATCCTCATGATGCATTAAACAAACTTAAAAGTTTAAAATTGATTTTAGAGAGTTTAAAATATTTTTAAACTAAATGAGGAAATATAGGAGATGCATCCGCTATCTTCTTCTTTTTTTTCTAAGCCCAAATTCACGGATTTGATTTATCTCCCACATTTTTTCCCTAATTTGTTATATTAAATCAAATAAAAATAATATAAATATAGTTATAATATACAAATATGATTTTTATGTTTGATATGAAATTATTATAAGATTCAGTGGATCTAGTAGATATCAGTATCAGCCATTTTCTTTAGTGTTTAACTCTTTAAATACCCATTCAGTCGTTCTTCATTTCCTCCAATTCAATATTTACTGATAAAGAGAGACTTGGTGGTCCAAAAAATGGAGACCTATGGCTCCTCTTTCTCTAATGTCAAATCCTACCTCCGAGCCCTTTCCGATACTCCACACAGATTAGCTCGCCGGGCTTGTTCTGTCTCGACTTCTTTCGAAGAAACAAGTCGACTCAGAGCTCGGTCTGGTGGAGATATGAAACGGAGTCTCCGGTGGTATGACCTCGTCGGATTTGGCGTCGGCGGTATGGTTGGTGCCGGAGTATTTGTTACTTCCGGTCGTGCTAGCCGTATGTGTGCTGGACCTGCTGTTGTTCTCTCTTACGCCATTGCTGGATTCTGTGCTCTGTTATCTGCTTTTTGCTACACTGAGTTCGCCGTCGATATGCCGGTTGCTGGCGGTGCCTTTAGCTATATCCGTATCACTTTTGGTCCGTTTTCCGTAACTGAATTTGTTAAAAACAACACGTTAAAAACGCAATGTCCTGTACTTTGTTTTACGATTAAATTGATCAACGACGTTTCGTAGTGCAGGTGAATTTCTAGCGTTTTTGACCGGTGCGAATCTGATCATCGATTACGTATTATCAAATGCCGCTGTAGCGAGGAGTTTCACCGGTTATTTATGTACAGCCCTCGGTATATCCACTGAAAGCAGATTGAGAATCACCGTCAATGGATTACCGAAAGGATTCAACGAAATCGATATTGTTGCTGTTTTAGTAGTTTTAGCTCTCACCGTAATCATCTGCTACAGGTTCGTCCGCTACTAAAATTCATGAAAAAATTCTAATCGAATTCGATTTCGTTTTTTTCATAAACATAATTTGTTTGCAGTACAAGAGAGAGTTCGATGTTGAATATGGTGTTAACAGTGCTACATCTAGTGTTCATAGTATTCGTGATAGTAATTGGATTTACCAGAGGAGATACGAAGAATTTCAGAGAAGCAGGGGATGAGAATCATGCGAGTGGATTCTTCCCATTCGGTGCTTCAGGAGTGTTCAATGGAGCAGCAATGGTTTATCTGAGTTACATAGGGTACGACGCCGTTTCAACCATGGCTGAAGAGGTTAGAAATCCTGTTAAGGATATACCTGCTGGTGTCTCGGGTTCCGTTATACTCGTGACAGTTCTTTACTGCCTCATGGCTGCTTCAATGTCCATGCTCCTTCCTTATGATATGGTAAAATAAAAGTGATTAAAATTACATTTCTATCCTTATCACTATTCATTTATTTCATTATCTCGATCAATCAAATTGTGATCAACGAATCTCATTTATTTAGGATTATCATATCATGGTGATGAATGTAAATGAGTATTAATATCTGGAATGTGAAAGTTCTGATAAATTGTTGTTTTTGATGAGCAGATTGATACAGATGCGCCATTTTCGGGGGCATTTATGGGATCAGACGGGTGGAGATGGGTATCAAATGTGATAGGAGTTGGGGCTAGTTTCGGTATTTTAACATCTTTATTAGTAGCTATGTTGGGCCAAGCTCGATACATGTGCGTGATCGGACGGTCCAGCGTTGTTCCCGCTTGGTTTGCTAGGGTCCATCCTAAAACATCAACGCCTGTGAATGCTTCCGTTTTTCTCGGTACGTTATTTATCAATATCTACTCGTACTTTGTATTTATATCAAATTTCATAGTTAAGGTTCGAGGCACATGAATATGTAGTATTTTTGATAGAATCTCGACTGATATGAAATATATTGAAAAATTTGATTGGGTATGGTATTTTATTGTGTTGCGTATTTTTATGTGGATAAATTAGTGGAAATGCGTGTGTGATTTATTTATTTTTCCTGTTATTGCGTGGATATTGCCTTTTGTATTATTATTATCAGCTTTGCCGTTGGACAGTAGGGGGTCCACCAAAAGAACCGTTTCGGTTAAGGCGATAGCTTTACATTTTAGGGAAAATTGATCATAAGTTTATCATGTGACTCATCATATTCGGTTAACTATTTTCTGGGTTTTGTGGGACCTAGTGGCGGAGTCTGTTTCGACAGAAAATTACATTGTTTATACATTATGAAAATTATTTTACAGTGTTGAATTTCGCTCAAGTTGTTTATGTTTACTTTTATATACTCCCTCCGTCCCATTTTATGTGGCAACATTTCCTTTTTGGTCAGTCCCAAAAAGAATGTCACATTTCCTTATTTGGTAAGTATTTAAAGGTACAATTCCTCTTTTATCCTTGTTGGTCCCACTTAATCTTGAAAAGAGTACTCCAATACATTTATTAGGAGAGAGAAAAATAAGTCTATTTTTTTAAGGGCAATTTGGTAAACATTTCAAAGTCTTTATCTATTTCTTAAACTCCGTGCCCGATCAAATGTTGCCACATAAAATGGGACGGAGGGAGTATTTATTTATTTAAATTATTTTAGTAAAATTTTTGATTCCGATATTTATGGGACCTACAGTTTCATGTCAAGATGATTAGTCACTCACAATCACACAGAGATTTGAGAAATTTTTATTGAAAGGGGCTTTGACTGAATTTTTCTATGTGGGGTCCTCTTCCTTAGGATAAAACCTTGGCTCATATCTCAATGTTTGTCATGAATTTGGCCTTCTTATTTTTCTTTGTTCATTCATAGCCCTCCAATATTGAAGGGTGTGACGATTTCAACAGTGTTTTTACACGTGTTTGAATATATTTTTTATGCATGGTTTTTTTAATGTGAGTAGGGGATTTCAAGTTTCATATCGAAGTGTACGACAATTTCGTCTAAAATACGAGGACACATTTTTTATTTTCTTAATTATATTTTCTAACACAATACCAGCTAAATGTTTCAAATATGTACTTCAAGGAGAAAAGATTCCATATAGTTTTTAAGAAGTGTATTATGAATTAATTCGTGATAATACTGCGTTGTATAAATCTTGATTATTTAAAAAATCTAATTAGGAAGGTTCCTTGTTAATTCGAGTGGCTCAGGAAAGATTTAACTGCAATTATTGGTCCAAACAATATACTCTAATAAGGTTCCTTCCCATCATTATCTAAACGAATGTTCTCCACATACTTTGATACACTATTTAGACAGGTATTTGAGCTCAGCAAAGTATAAAACTTTTTCTATCTCCTGCTGACCATTCTTGAAATTTTATTCTTTATAAAGATTATGTGTGTGACTTACATTACTGGAATAAGAATTTAAGTAAACTGGGAATGTTAGATATAGACTTTTAAAAACAGAGTTGAAAATGCTATAATATAGAATCCTTTGTAGAGTACTAGGGGCAGTAACCGAAAATTATTTTTTATGTATATATAATAGATATTGAATTTCTTTAGTAAAAATTCTGGCTCTGTAAATTAAGGGGTACCCTTTTAAAGATCTTGTCATGTGATTTTCTGAGACTCAAAATCTTGCCAGAAGTGTTACATGGCCGAAACTTTTGACTGAAATGACACATTCTTTACCGATTTCAGAATAAAGTCTTGCTAGGAATTTCTTCCTATTGTGCTAATACAAGCATTTGTTTGGTCATTTTCAGGAATTTGTACAGCAGCAATTGCACTTTTCACTGATTTACAAATACTACTCAACCTTGTATCAATCGGTACACTGTTTGTATTTTACATGGTAGCAAATGCTGTTATTTACAAGCGTTATGTTTCGATTGGCGTAACAAATCCATGGCCTACACTATCTTTCCTTTTTTGCTTCTCATTGACATCCATTTTATTCACTCTGTTATGGCAATTTGCCCCACCAGGCAAGCCAAAAGCCTTAATGCTTGGTGCTTGTACTGCTATTGCCATTGCTGTATTACAACTCTTCCATTATATGGTACCACAAGCGCAAAAACCCGAGTTTTGGGGTGTCCCTTTAATGCCATGGATTCCTTCCATGTCCATATTCCTCAATATATTCTTGTTAGGTTCACTTGATAGACCATCCTACATCCGATTCGGATTCTTCTCAGCTCTCGCTGTTCTGGTTTATGTTCTCTACAGTGTTCATGCTAGTTTTGATGCTGAGGAAGATGGGACACTTAGTCAAAAGAGAATTGAACTAGTGAAGGAATCTATTGAAGTCCAGGACCATACTTTCAAAGTGTAAAAATGTTCTCTTTTTAAGCTGACTTTTTCTTTTAGTATAACTTCTTCTTTTTGGGGGGTGGAGGAGTAATTTATGGATATTTAACAAAGAAATAGGAGAGGAAATATAGGCTGCAATTATTTTTGCGGCGATCAAGTTGTATAGTTTACTACGATAATGTTATGATATGAGCTTAAATGGCGAAATGAGGATTCATGTAGCTAACTGAGGTGTAACTATTATTGTATTGTTATTATGGTAGCAAGTTGTATAGTTTATTGTGACTTGTGATTCTCTTGTATGGTTAAGTCAACTATTGATGCCTCATAAAAGCTCAAGTGCCACAAAGACAAAGAAATCTATATAGATGAACATGGAAAATTAGGAATAACCTGTTCATTTACCCACATTGGGTGATGTAAGAGAGTTGTCTACCATTTGAAGCTAAAATTCTCTTTATTGTACTTGATTACATATTCACAATTGACCATCATTTGAGTTTAAATATTTATGAAGTTATCTATCATGTTTTTAGTTCAAATGTGACATCATGAATTCAAAATGAAAGGCCCCACTACCCTTATGACTATTGAAGAAAACTTTTAAGTCCATGAAAGTCCATTTTTATTGTGGAATCTATCTTCTTGAAAATGAAAAGAACAACAAAATATAAATCTAGTTAAAGGTTCTCTCTTTTGGATTTTGGAGTATAAGAAGGGAAAAAAAGGGGTGGAAAAGGTTTGAAGATGAGGATGGAACAAAAAGAAAGTTGGATAGGGACTAATGAACCCTTTTTATGTGGTAAAATAAACAAGATTTTTTTTTGTTTAAGTTACAAGTTCGAAGTTTTAATAATTTGAAGTATATGAATTTTAAATTTCAAAGTCTTTTGATTCTGAAGTTTATTATATGTATATAATTTTAGTAAATTTCTCAAACATATATATAAAGTTTATACCAGACTTACTGAATTCTACTAAATTCACAATTTTCAAGCTAAAATTCGTTCCTATAGGGAGCACATCCTCCTTTTTAAATAATTTTTTTTTGTATCTTGAATCTGAATTAATCGAATAAATAAATTTTGAATATATTACCTTGATGAAAAGAGATATACATGAGAGGATAGGGGTGTTGGGGTATGGTTACTATATACCATCCAATGAGGGAGTATTCACTTTTTTCTGTACCGCATGCAATTGTTTCCTTTTTGGTCGGTTTTTTTCTATCCAAGGCAAATATATATATATATTTTTTTGTTGGCATAAATTTATATTTTTACATTATTAATATTTTATAAATTATGTCTCATGTTCTAATAGAACTTATTCATTGATCTAAGTTTGATTTCTAAAAATTAAAAATCAGATCATTTTACGGACAAACTGTGCAATTAAATGTTTATAGTTATTACTAATAAGTATTTTTTTTATTTTCATTTAGTCTTTGATATTCATATTGAAATCCCGATGAATTATGATTCACATCATGGAAAATTCATATAAAGGGAAATGCCACTTAACAAGATTTTATACAAAATTCAAACTCGTAGCCTCTAGTTTAAAACATATACATAGGAGCTGAACAAATTTCACCACAAAAATAACACTAATCTTTATTTTCATTTATAAATTTTAACCAGTATAAATTAATTACTATATATTTGAGTGGATTGAAGATACCTAACAGTCTTGAATTTTATTATTCATTTCTAAATATATATATGATTTTGTGTCGGTATATACTTTAGTTCTCCTACAACTATGAATAGATGAAGTACTCTAGTTAAAGAGGAGAAACACTTCTTATCAAAGTTTTTTTATACTCAACAACTTAATTTGGAATTTCTGATTAAGGACGAAGAAATTTCGTACATTTCACTGCTATCACATGATAGAGTTTTTTTTCCATATATGAATCATAGATAAGATAAAGGTTCCTAGCTTAAAATATATCTTAGATTTCTATCAAAAGGCATATATGCCAATGAGAAATTATAGTTTAATTGATTTTTGTGTATCCAATTGGTTAGGTTCCACTACTAGGAAAGTCAGAAATGATAAGAAAGTAAACTTTCCAATTGATTTTGACATGAAAGTTGGTTCATGATACGATGCTTTTAATACTAATAGTCCACTTTTTATCCACATATGAATATTTGGGTGAACAAATGAACTAAGGGAATATTTGCTAAGTTATTATATCCTTGACTCATGCATTAATGTGTGTATATATATATATATGGTGAATATGAGGTGTGTTGAACGGTATAGAGGACACAATCAATATGAAGTGTCATTTGTAGAACTTAGTTTTTTTTTTATTTTTAGTATAAAAAGTAATCATAAATCTAATTATATTAAGTAGAAACATGAAATTAGTAATCGAAGAAATAAGATTAGCAAAAATCTATAAAATATAACACTACATAGGTTAATTTAAAAAAGAATCCTTTACTAAAATATGAAAAATACGAAAAGTTTTGAGGGATAATTATGAGTTTGGATTAATATTCAGTCATCTAATTTATAAAATATGTACAAAGTGTATAGACATGTGGGAGGATCTAGGATGTGAGGGTGCTCATCCGAACTCTTTAAGTAAAAAATTACACTAGATAGTAGATATATAAGGTATTTTTTTTTATGTATACTGATTCCCTAAACGTAAAGGTTGACTTAATAGTTTTGGCCTTAGGGGTTCAAAATTCCTCTTGAGGTTCCAAGTTCAAAATCTCAAATACTATACTTTTATTTTTCAAACCCCTATATGAAAATCTTAGATCAACCACAGACTATTCATATATTATATATTTGATATACATATCTATATACAATATATACCATGATAGTATAATATATATTATGTATATTTCGATCATATTAATAAATTAGTTAACCAAACGGTATGTATGAATAACTATCCCAAAAGCTTTATTGCATCATTTGTGATGCTTCAATTGGGTCAGATTAGAAAGTAGAAATGCTTGATAGCAACTTGCAAATTTGCAATTACAAAAGTAGCCACAAAGATTTGCATGCACTTGGCCACTGATATATCTATATATTATATATGTGGGTGGTGTAAAATACTCCACAAATTTTTATCTTTAATGATGTACTCATTATGCTTATGAGATTTTAGTTAATTGTGTAGAACTTACTCATATAGCCATCATGATCTTAATTAATTAATACCACTTTCCTTACTTTATTTCTCCTTCTTTCTTTTTGTTAATCCAATCAAGGATTAAAGCCACAATGAATGAAGTTGCAAGAATATGGCACATGGATACCATATCATTCTTAACATGTGCTTGAAAATAGTAGAAACTAAAAATCAAGGAGGGATTAAATAAAATTACTGGCCTAAAATCAAATTTTGTTATAATAACGTATTTGATAAGATTCATATATGTTTGTGTAACATAATAGTCTTGAAGAAAAAACGTAAGAAAGAATAAAAAGAGAATGTATACTTCAAATTATTTACGATTGTTTGGACAATTCTTTGATTGATGATGAAAAATAAGTACTTGAGGTTGATATTGTGTTTGAGAATGAAATTCACTTGAAATTAAATATTTTTCAAAAGTTTAAGTACTTCAAAATATTTGATGAAATATCTCTCAATCAAATGAGCCCTTAAAAATGTTTTCTACTTACCTTTAACAATATATACTTTGTTAAAAAGTTTTTGGACCTTAGCTTAAAGAAAATATTTCTTGTCCATTTTTTTTCTTTTTTCTTTTTCAAAATCTTTGGGAGTCGGCATTAAGAACTTATCTAACTGGAGACCAAAATGCACAAACCATGTTGAGACAATGTGGGGGTAACACAAATAGTCACTTTTTATAATTGGAAAACAACAACTTTTATAAAAGTTTTAAATTTCATATATGAAACTTATGATATTATCCTGAATTTTCACATATGAAATTTAAAACTTCATTTCATAGCTATTTTCTAAAGACATGGCTGTAGAGTAGTCGATAGATCGTAAAAATATAGGGGAATTGAATGTCGTGGAGTTTCATCTATAAAATTTGAAACTCTATAAGATTAACTGCATTTCAAGAATATGATAAAAAAAAAAGTGACTGATAAACGTTATTTTCATGATTTATTTATTTGTTTTTGTATAGGTTAATGTAGGATGTGGGAGACAATGACCAACTTTAGTGGTGTCATGACTCTCCATCCATCCATTTACTAAATCAAGAATCACATGTAATTTGTCTCTATAAAAACATCTTTATATGTATACTCTGACTTATGGATTGATACGGCTGCTTATATATCCACCAAGAAATTAAAGAATGTGCTGTTTGAGTAATATTTTAATGAGTGGAAAATCATAGTTTTTCTATCACTTTTCTTACTTATAAAATCCTAGTCAAAGATATGCTATAATGATATATATACTTATTGTATCTTGTATGTGTATATTTGTGTGTGTAATGATTTTTGTGATTGAATTTGGGACTATTTGTGATAAGAATTGGATGTTAATAGATACAATGGAGGGGCCAATTTTATCTACAATTGTCTCATAACTTTTTTATGGTCCCATAGCTTCTTTTTATTTTATCCTTTTGGGCTAATGTATTTTTTTTCTCATTATTAATTCTTCAAAGTCAATTGGTTGCTATTGGAAATAGAATCATGGCGGTTTTTTTTTTATATAGAGAAAACAATGTAACACAAGAAGAAAGATGGCTTATTGGTTCCTTTTTAGTTTGAACTACTTGCTGAAATGTAACTTTCATCTATTAAGAGTTGCAAGTAGGGTAGATATGGTTTAGTCCTCAATAAATCATGGGCAGATCTAGGTGGACCGGATAGGAGGGGTTCATCAGAACCCTATTCATTAGAAAAGCGCACTTTATATGTAGGGTTACATTTTTATTTTGTGTATATATTAGATGTTCAATCTCTTTAATACAAATGAAAAGCTACCTTAATAGTAAAAGTGGATCAAATTCTTTTAGAGGATGTAGATTCAATTCCCTTGAGCCACAAATATTCAACCAGTCTAGTCATTGATAAGCAAACTTATTATTTTTAATACAAATATTCTACTATCTAATAAGAGGGAGTGTTACATA